CAATCTCCTCATTCACATTGTAGCTCCTAGTCTTATGAAGATCTCCTCCAAGTTCTAGCTCATTCGGACCAAGAAGACTCTGGATCGAAGTTTTGCTAAAATCTGGGCACAAAAAAAACTGTTTTCTTCTCTTTTTTTGCTGGACTTGTCTATTTATCTATACCGGCTCTTGTGCTTCTTGTTCTGGATTGTTTTTCTTCTATAATCTTGTATTTAAAATTATTTTTAAGGTTAAAATCCTAATGAGCTTTGGGCTACAATATAAGACATTGAACATTGGCTTTACTCCACATAAAAGGAAATATCTCGATAAATCTCCCCCTTTTGACCGTGGGGAGTAATTCCTCATCTCAATAATCGAACAATGATCTTCAAGCTTTTTTTGTAACATCTTCGTCAACATATGGAAAACCATTATGATCAATATTAACTTTCTCAAGTTCCAACAACTTATAATTCAATGAATTTTTGATTCAATGATATCGTACATTAATGTGCTTTGATCTTACATGGAAACTGGAACTTTTAGGAAGATGAATAGCACTCTAGTTATCACAAAACAACATGCTTATGCTGCTTGAAACCAAGTTCTCTCATGAACTTCTTTTACCATAGAAACTCTTAAGTTGCCTATGTTGTTGCAATAAACTCTACCTTTATCGTAGAAAGGATAATACACTTTTGAAGTTTCGATTGCCAAGCTACAACCCCATAGCAAAAGTAATGAATAACGGGTAACCACATCTCCTACCATATTTGCATCTATGTAGCCACCTAACAATGTTTGTCCATTTCCAAACCAAGTCTCAATCTGGAAGTGCCTCGAAGATACTCATGATCCACTTAATTGCATTCCAATGCTCTATTCCTAGATTTGATGTGAAACTGCTAACAACACCAATTGTATGGGATATATCTGGTCTTGTAGAGACCATCGCATATATCAAACTTCCTAAAGCATAAGAAACTCTTCTACGTTTTCCTTTCCCTTATATGTAGAAAGATATTGATCAATACTCAATATGAAGTGGGTAGCAAAAGGAGAGTAACCAAACCACTTTAGCCTTGTCTATACTGAATCTCTCAAGCACTTTCTTAATATACTCTTCCTACGAAAAATACAATTTCTTGGCACTTTTGTCATGACTAATTCTTATGCCAAAGATTTTCTTTGTTTGTCCCAAGCCCTTCATAGCAAAAGCAAAATACTTACTCAACTGCTTCTTCAACCTATCAATTCTTAAAGTATTCCTGCCAACAATCAATATATCGTCAATACAAAGCAATAAAATGATAAAATCATCGTCACAGATTTTCTGAGCTAACACAAGGTGATCAAAACTTGTTTTCTTGTAGCGTTGCTGATGAGTGAGTTTCACTCATTATTTTAATGTCACTTAAATTTGATACTTTGGTTGTATTTGAACAATTTAGAACGTTTTGGTGTGTTTGTTAGTGTTTTTTTTATAGATTAGGTAACTTGGTGAAAATGGTGAGTTTGGAGCTTGAAAAGGAGCCAAAGTTGATAAGAGTGTGAATAGGCATGGAAGAGATTTGAATGTTTGCAAAGAAGGTAGAGAAAATAGCTAAAGGGAAGAAGAAACCAACAAGATGGCACCTCAGTACCACCATTATCAATCAGGGAAGTGGCACCCTAATGCCACGTGAGCGGAAGAGGAATAGATCATTGGCACCCATCACCACTTGTCAAGAAGAGACAGCAGCATTGCAACTGCAGGCTCCATGATTGTGGTGCCGCTGGCCAAAGGAAGTGTTTTAATTTTCTTGGA